GAGAGAGAGAGAGAGAGAGAGAGAGAGAGAGAGAGAGAGAGAGAGAGAGAAAGAGAAGAGAGAGGAACATTGTTGAAATTTTATCTAACGACCGATAGGTCACCCTGTATAGTCGATAACGTGCTTCCCGCTAACTTTATTGGATAATAACTCGGGATAGAGTTTTACCCGCTTAGTGCATTGCGGCATAAGGCTACCTGGCGAACACTATTAAGGTCATTTTATCCGTCACCACATCGATTCGAGATAGTTTTATCGTACCTCTTCCGCCTAACAAGCTAAGCCCTAATCGCGAAAAAAAAAGAGAAAGATCCACATGTGCAAGTATGAAAATATGTGAAAGTATGTGAAAGTAGCACAAAGACCGGAAAATCACCATCGGCAATCTGCGCGTTATCAACCATCGACGCGATCGATATGCAATTACACGCCGTCCGGTGTATTTCGAGCACGCCGTGATATATTTTGAGCTGAAAACTGAGCACCGTTTCCGTATTCTATACCCATATGATGCTGTGTGTGTGTGTGTGTGTGTATCTATATGTGTGTGTATTATTGCCTTATATGAAAATGGATGAAAAAAAGACTAAGAAAAAAGATTGTTATTATGTGATTGAAACTCATATTACGTGATCAAAGGCCATGATGCGAAAGTATTTCGATGTGAAAATCTCGCGATATAGAGGACGCGTGCGCACTTTTTTCATTCGTGACATTAGTGTGTCATTGCTCGATACGATATCCCTCTTTTGGACGGGAAACGGAACACGCGACGTGTGCTTCCGGTGACGTTTTTCCAGCGCGGAAAACACGCGGTCGCGAACCAGGCGGAAATTCCAGGCGGAATTTCATTCGCGGCGACGCGACAAATGGTGTACTTCCCTTGTGAGGTAGGACAAATCCGTCGCTCGCTCGCTCGCTCGTAGGAAAATCGACACATATCTGAGAAGAAAGAGGTTTCCCTCACGACTTTTTGACGCCTGACGACGCGCGGGTTACCCCGGAAAGAGCGGCGGCGGAGCTCTAAAAATACGTCCAAAATCGAGGAGTGACCTCGATGCGAGAGAAGCGCGAACACCCTGCTTTTCCGTGTGCTTTTCCATTTAAACGGACGGATTTCTCTAACATATTTCTCTGCCTCTCTCCCTTTCTCTCTCAGAATCTCCACTAAGATAAATCCGGCGGAGCTTATTTGTCGGTTGAATAACAGAAGCGAGAGAGAGATAAGAGATTGTTGATGGCCCGTCTCGATAAAGATACTTTTATAACTTCCTTGTCGTAAAGTATAAAGCAGAGATACGTTCTATCATAAGTATAAAGAGAAGGGAGGAAAGAACATCGGTTTTCTCTGAAGTATACCTCCCTCCTTTTTTTAGTAAATCTGTTTTTCATGGATTTTTGTACGAGTTCCCGAACGACGTAAGACGAGCATAAAAGCGTGATCTCCGTTTCTGGCTTTACGATACCACGGGAAGCTCTCTGTTATAATCTCATTTCGCGAAATACATTTCACGGCAGAAGAGATGAGTGAGTCAAAGTCCCCCGCGCTCTTTTCGGGATTGAAGCGCGAGTCCGCAGCACAGCCGTGTCTATTATTTATCGGTACGAACGTGTAAGCACACAGCATCTCGATATACGCTCAAGAATAGATCCTTCCGATATATTTTTCGTATGTAGACTCAGACGAAATATTTTGCATGGCGATCCCGAGCGTTAGTAAAGCGCGAATTCAACAGTCGCGTTGTTACCCATCGAGTTAGAAGCCAGACGCGATTCATTACGAAATATTACGGTAAGGCCCTTAATTAACGGTGTGCGGTTGCCCGAAAATATCGGGTCGAGTGGCGTTGAGTAGATACTCTCCTCCGAGACCGAGTCTCGAAATTTCAGATACGAACGCGCACTTGTATCGCGTGCTGAACTTTCCGAATTTTCGCTCGACCTAATTCGACCCGAAACTCGAGTTATTCGCGATGTCAAGCTGAGTAATTTTGAAGTAAACAGACGAGCTCGTGAGAGACATTTTCCTCATCTATCTCATACTAGAGACTATATCAAATGGATCGTATGCACTTAAATGTTGTGGCGGTACAATATTGTTTCTACTGCAGCAACAGAATAGCCGATGAAGTGCCAAGTTGAATGAGTGGAGAGAGGCAAAAGAGGTTACACAAGTTTACCCTTTTGCCTCAATGACTCCCAGGTCCGTTTGCTACAGAGTTCCTCAGCTCGCACACACCTACTATTAATACGTGTCATATTACAAGTAAGTGTTTACATACCTGTAAATATGTACATAATTTTCATCGTTATTAAAATTATTCACTATTATAACGTTTCGCTAAGACGTTACTGCCTTACAAATCCTTTTAGGAATTCCTATATACCTTATAATTTATGATTATGTTCGTTCCACTATTGAATAGAGTAAGTAAATTTTAAGTAAACCAATTTGAAATAAATGTTATTAATACCTATCGAATAAATACTTTTTTATTTTTTAGAGATTTTTCTTTTTAGTGCACACATATAGATTTCGATAGTTATCACGGAAAAAAGGACATTCTTTTGTTTGGATAATATCTTTATTTTTTATATATTAATCATTAATTGAAATTGTATGTGAGCGTTAAACAAAAATTAATTATTTGTAAAAATATATTTTATAAGATTCAACGCAGAAAAAACTGTGTGTTCTTATTATTCAAATATAATTTTCATTAATGTTAAGCATAAAATATTTAATTGAGGATTTAATGCTTTTTTAAGTTTCGCAGAAGAAGATATCATTACGATAAAAATAATCATTATATTTCTTTTAAGACTATTATAATATTCAAATAAAGTTATAACATTATTGAAATTTTTGAATGTGTTATAAAATAGGTTTCTCCATCTATTTAAAACTAATATACTGAAATTAACAATCATCGTTTCATATATAAGGAACAATATATAACATTGCTAGAAAAATTTGAAAGTTTTGAATTTCAATGTTTCTTATAATTTTATTTAAATATTATTACGTATTTTATTTAAATATTTTTATGATAATGATATTTTCTTCCAACATTTAAAAAATCCTTTTCTTAATCCAATACCTCGAGTTTTTCATTAATAAAAATTATTTTTAAATAATAGGAACATAGATCTTTCTTCGTTGAATCATATAAAATATATTCTTGCAAGTAACACATTTAACACTGTGATCTCATTTGAAAATTAATATGTCAAAAATAAAGATATTTTCCAAATAAGAATGTCTTTTTTTTCTGTGTACACTATACAAGAATTTTTCGATATTTAGTTCAAGTTTATAGAAAATGTAACAATACTTTTCATATTTTTCATATATAAATGTTTTTATGCGAATTGTTAGTTTTAGATAATGTGCTCTTCCTTCAACATTTCAAATAAATTGATCAAATGCAACATAAAAATTGGCATGTAAATATCAGACACGTTATTAAAATCTCAACTTGAAATTTATTACTTACGCCTGTTTTCCTCCGGCGACTCGAAAACGTACAGCGCAATGATTTGAACTTCAAACTGACGTCTCAGGCAAACGTATAGCATTTCTCTTGTTAATTCCGACAATCAGTTGCACACGAAATTCTCTCTTTCGGCGGATCGAGGACAGGCTAAAAAATTCAATTACGATGTAACATCTATATAACGGATCATGATATAACGGATTTTACGCGCGATATTTTATTCGGCACTCCGACGCAGTAATGTGACATATTTACTTAGACAGCGACCTAACGATATCTCATCGCGATAAAAGCACGGAACATTCACGAAATACTTTCGGCGATTACCCGACGATATTCTGTCGCGAAGATCGCAAAAAACATTTCCGACTTTCCCGACAATAACTCACGCGCGAAGATCACTTTCCGAAATGGCAGAGTCGAATGACTTGCGGACAAGTGCTGCCACACTACGGCTTTTTCCGTAACTGACTCGTAAATATCTCAATATCTCAATCCCGCAAAATTTGAAATTGCGCGAAACTTTAATTGGTCCTCCCAACGATCCTTTTTGCGAGATACTTTCATCTTCTTAACAATACTCTGCTAAAGAATAGAGACAAACACACAAATCTTACCTGTATCGCCAACAATAATTTACGTGCGAGACTCTGTTGGCGGGTAAAAGGCAACGTGAAAGGCAACTCAAATTTCTAATCACTATAATAACGCCATAACAAGACACTTCCGAAGCCATACCAAAATATGTTCCGCGTAATATTGTTTACAGTGACTATCGAACGATATTTATCACACGAACTCACGAAACTTACTATCGACATTTTCGACGATTCGCACGCACGAGATATTTTCGGTCACATCAAGGTCGCGGCTTGTTTTACGACATACTTTCGGACATTACTTAACGATATTCTATCGCGAGAAACACATTAAATTTTCAGCACTCGCGAAGATGACGCGTGCACAACAGTCATTTGACATAATGGCGGGATATGAATGCTGCGAGTACGGGAGATTTTTTCTGCGACAGGAACCTTCTGTACACACGTAGAGTGATGTACAGCCTGCTGTTGGATATTGTATCTTCTACGTCATTTTATGCATCCCCAGAGGCCTCCTGTCGCGAAGAAAATTTTCCGCAGTACTAGATACGAACGAATTCTTGGTTTAGTGCTGCCACACTGCGACTCTTCTCATACCCTCTCACGGTATCTCAATATTTTTGAATATCCCGGAAATTAAAATAGCGCGAAATTTTACTCGGCCCATCCAAGCCTCCTTGCAGAAAGCCTATCTGCAGAGAGAAGCATGAAAGCAGCCACTAGCACTGAAATATATACTATCTGGAACGCGTGCTGCCTCTTGAGGCGTACGGGATGAGAGAGAGATTTCTTGTTTCCTCTCTTATCCTTGTCTGGTTCATAGTATAGTCGATAATGGGGAGAATGTAATACAATCCAAATTAAAAGTTAGAGATAATATGAAAAGTAGTGATCACTGAATGGCAATGACTTAAGGCCATGCCACACATGAAAAACTTAGGGTCGTGGCACACAGAAAAACTTAAGCAGTAAGACATAAGCAGTAAGCAAATTGACCAATCACAGTCGTTGATTCTTCTTACGGTCCAAAAATCAACGACTGTGATTGGCTGATTCGCTTACTGTTTACATCTTACTGCTTAAGTTTTTCTATGTGCCACCAGCTTTAAGCAGTAAAACGTATGCAGTAAGCAAATTGACCAATCACAGTCGCTGATTTTTTTTACGGTCTAAGAATCAACGATTGTGATTGGTCAGTGTGCTTACTGTGTACGTCTTACTGCTTAAGTTTTTCTGTGTGCCATGGTCCTTAAGTTTATGAACGAAAGTTTAAGTTATAAAATATATATATATTTTTTTCTCATTTATTAGCATTCACTTATCGACTTATTATTAAAGCTAGCCACACACACTTTCCGAACAGTAACCGTAAGACGTAACGTAAGAATTTACCAATTACGATCGAGTATTCACAAAAATGACGACTTTACAATTCGACGATTCTCAACATGATTGGTCAATTCTTACGTTACGTCTTACGGTTAAGCTCGTATCAGACTGCCGACTGCACAGGCCGACCCGACTGCCGACTACGACCGCCGACTCTCAATGGACTAATCACAGTGAAGCGCCGAGTCGCGCCTCACTGTGATTAGTCCATTGAGAGTCGGCAGTCGTAGTCGGCAGTCAGGTCGATCTGTGCAGTCGCTAGTCTGATACGGGCTTAGGCCCGATCTACAATAGAAGAAGTAGGAGTAGGAGTAAGAAATAAGCAGTAAGTAAACAAACCAATCACAATCGATTATTTTTTAAACGTGAGAATGGAATTGGTCAATTTGCTTACTGTTTATTTTTTACTCCTACTTTTACTCCTTACTCCATCTATTGTAGATCGGGCCTTACTGTTACGGAAAGTGTATGGCCAGCTTATAAAAATCAAAGTAAAGATGGTTCCTAATTCGGAGATTCAGCTTATGTTTAGAAATCAGCCGACTTAAGGTCAGTTTATGATGGCCTTAATTCATTAACTTATGTCAGAACCGTAAAAAATTGACCAATCATAGTCGAATTATAGAAGAATATTTGACTGTGATTGGTCAATTTTTACGGTTCCGGCATAAGTTAACGGATTACGATCATCATAAACCGGTCTTTAGCTTTTGGTTTAGACGATTGGAGTATTCTTTCAGATCTTTGATATATATAAAAGAATACTCCAATCGTAGATGTTCGCTACGTAGCGGAGCAATTTTTTCTGCGGAACGCAGCCATTTAGTCCGTTTTTGAATATCGGCAAGTGATATTTGCACATTGATTATTGTTATTTATTTTAGCATTTATACAAGTTTACTCCGAAAGTGAAAGTTTTTTTAATAAAAATCAAACGGGAAACGTAAGTAATTCAAGTGTATTATATATATAAGACATTTCAATTGCATCTTCACATTCTTTTAAAATGTCAGCTATAACCTAAAAGGTGTACATTCTGTTACCCTAAAAGGTGTTTATTCTGTTCTGTATTCGCCAATGGTTAGTCACTCGATGATTTTCTATACTAAAGAAGAATTTTATTCATACCATCATGTGGAAATGTTTCTTGTTACTTAATAGCAATCTTTTCATCAGATGGAGCCCATGACTCTGGGGTCACCGATGAGCAGTCCAATACAAATTCCTAGTACTCCAGGAAGCTCCTCACCGTATTTGCCAAGTTTTCTCTTGGGTGATACTCAACCAGTAAGAATAAATAATCTTTTGTTCAAATTTTTATAGCATGTGTGCCTTGCCAACATTGCTATCTTTAAAATTACAGCCAACCAAAATTATGACACCACCTCAAGATAATCCTCGACATTTGAACATTACCAATACTAGTCTAATGTCACCGATTTCATATGGAACTCCAGACTATCGGTCTAGCCGTCAGAAGGCAGTATTTGGGAACACTACAGCTCCCAGTACACCACAAATGAGTACGAAGAATCATACTGGAGGTCCACCAACTCGTGCACTATTTGATGTTCTGGAGACCTCACAGCTATCTTCTTCATATGTATCAAACCCAAATCTCATGTCCACACAAGCCAACCAATCAAAACTCATGATGAACACGATGAACAGTCCGCTGTTGTTTCCTGATAGTCCAATGACCTCAAGCACAAGCGAGTCCCAGGGGCTGCTGCAGTGGGTCACTGTCTTTGGCTTCCTACCAACTGATATTAATGCTGTGCTATCTCACATCTCCAGCAGAGTACGAATAGTGGATAAACACCCAGCCCCACAACCGCAAAGCAATTGGATACATCTGAAATGCGCGTCGGAGCAAGAGGCACAGAGAGCTCTCACGTGCAACGGCAGCATCGTCTCAGGTTCGATCATGATCGGTGTGATACCTTGCACAGATGAGGGCGTGGTTATGAGTTCGGATAAGGAGAATCGCGCCAAATTGAACGGCAGTATAAGATCGTTATCGTCGAGGGGCTGTCAATCGTCGAGTTTCAACACGTCGCCTGGCAGACGGCGAAAGCTGAGATCCTTGGCCGCCGGTTATAATCAGCACTTCAGCCCACAAACGGCACAATCGCCACAGAACGTGCCGCAAAAGTCGGCCGGCTTAGTATCGAAAGCAATGGAATACATGTTCGGCTGGTAGTGCTGCTCAATTATTATACTCGAATTTTACACCCTTTGAACGAGTGGTTATACGGAAGTGAAAGGATAACAATCAATGAATGAAAAACGATCAATGTGATTTTTAACTAGAGTAAGCGCCTAACATTCTTCTTCTGCCCTGTTAACAAGAAAATAAATGAAACACTCCAAACATATGATGTACGATATGATGATATAGGATGTCTTTACAGCCATAATCCTCTTTCAAAATACAGTATTATACATTATTATCACATGTTGTAACACAACTGTTGTAAATATCTTCATGATTATATGGAACAGATGTCAAAGATTATATGGAATAGAGTTAAAGACATCTCGTATATGTACTAAACTAGGATTGAATATATATATCTTCTATTCTGCATTATACATACATATATATTGCTAGCATATAATGTTATATTAATCATGTAAAAATTTGATATCTATACAAAGTTTTCCTACATTATGTTACCGTTGAATCTTACACAAATGGATGGGAAATATTGCAATAATGACTCTTTCGTAGCAATAATAACGATAACTCGTCGATTATAACCATAACGTTGTGATTATGTCGTTATTGTAATAATTAGTGCGTAGTAATAGTTATACCCTCTCTCTAAGTCATGATATAAGATGAAAATTTAGACAATTCTATAGACACCTATTTATGTAAAATTTTTTTTCATAGTTGAACTCAGGCTCTATCTCTCGCATGCGAAACATTGATAATACAATCACGTATCTGTTTAGCTTTCTCATAAGGTAATTCAGTGTAACATTTATGCCCCCAGTCAATTATCAATTACAATGAAATTATTTCGTGTTCTCAATTGTAGCACTACCTAAATCAGTCATTTTTGGATATTTTACTTTTTTCTTATCTAATTCATCTTGAGCCCATAGTATCATCTTTAGTAGGTTATTGAGTCGAGGGCTAGTTGATTCTCTGTGTTCCATTTTCAATATGGCTGCGTTCAACTCACTTGCTATCTGCAATTATACAATAAAGATTAAAGAGAAAAAAATTAGAGAGTGACATTAAAGAAATTACATTTAATGTTTGCTTACTTTTTGTCTATGTGTAGGATGCAAGAGATCGCTAAATGGACTCCTAAGTGGCTCATCAAATGCCAGTAGTGCCAAAGTACGTTCCAACTCGCACAATATATTGTCATCTGACTCTCCAGCTTCGCTCAACTTGTCCTGAGCGAACTGAAGAGCCTCCTCAATTCTACCTACACGAATCAGTTCAATCAGATGCAACTGTTGCAAGTGGAAGTAAAGATATCTATCATTATCCAACAGTTCAGGATGTAGCTGATTAACCAAATCTGTGGCTTCCTGAATACGACCATTTTGTATAGCATCTCTAATGCGAATTCTATCATCCAGCGAACTTAACTCCACTGTAGGACCCACTCCAGATTCTTGCTGGAATTTCTCAGCAGCTTCCTTGAATCCTTCTGCATAATGCAATATTCACTCATCATATTTGGACAATTTGTTCGATAAGGCAAGATTACATGATAGAAATCAGAATTTACCTGTCACAAGATAATTCATGATTAAATTATTCATCGATACTCGTTGCATATGAAATCCCTCTTCCAGCCTTGCCACCCACTCATCCTTAGATATGCTGTCTTGTTTCTCAGGGAAACTCATTGTTCTCTGAGAATTCGTGTTGTCCTGCGCCGTGATGTCGGTTGTTGATGATATCCCGATCAAACACTAAGATCTCCACACAGCTTCGGAACACGATGATTAGCCCGGAACCACTCCAAACACGTCTGATAAAAATAAAGGGTACAAGATTATCAGAAGCGACCTTCATTAATCTTGAATCATCGAATTCGTGTACGGAAAAGCATGGACAGAACAGATGTGGAGTGATAGTACCTCTACAATGAGAAAATATTATAAACAACGTTATTTATGTTTACTATCTAAGCCGAGGTAAAATCCAAGATATTCAACACATACACATATATCGGCGTTATATATGCTTACATGCCTGAAGTTAGACTTCTGAATCGAACGCACTTCTCGAGATATCCAACAAAATTCAAAGTTATCTTTTTACCACTTATTTGATATTGTATAATTTCTGACTCATTTTTTAAACTTATTTATGTCATACAGCTGTTAACTATCGCACGTTATAATACACCAAAGTTAATACGATAGGTATATCTATGTAAGATTCATACCGCGTCCGAAGTCCGATGTATGACGTCCGATATCCAATAGGAGAACAGCTTTCTAATAGAGAATTCAATTCTCCATTGGAAAGCTATTCTTTTGTTGGATATGTGGTGTGAATCCTCCATAATATTACGATCGCTCATTGAACACTCAGTGATCCTTGCATCCGATTGACATATTCGTTTAAATCTAAAAATATACACCAATCAGACGCAAGAGCTATCTGAGTTCTCAATGAGCGGTGTAGTACTGGATGTGTCCAGGGACCCGATGCTCGACGATGTACGAATGAGATACGCATGCGAAAATCTACAGTATATGTAACGTGAACTATACATTTTCGCATGTGTATCTCATTCGCATACTGTCAAGAATCGAGCCCCAGAGCTGCCACATGTGGGACGAGTACGCGTAACTATAGTGCGTGCGGCGCAGCGCACACAAGCGAAGAACTGTGATGTGTGGGCTGCCTGTCACGAACTATAGTGCTTGGCGCTTCGGCCAGGTTCGGGCGTTGGAAGAGTGCAGACATACAAGCTGCCATCTCTCTCCCGACCTATAACTATAACTAATACTGCAAACGGCGAGAATCATGCCTAGGCCTTTTTATTATATCTCGACGCTCGCGTGTTGCTTCTCACGTGTGCGTACTTTTACTATTTAACTAATTGTTACATTAAATGGAATGTTTTTTTACACATAAAATACACTCGTCAACAAAATTATATCGCATAGGTTAATTTATGTCGAAATGTCGCACCATTTTTAATAAGCATAATACCGCGAAACATTATCGTATTTGAAAAATTTTTTTTTATTTCGAAAGTGAAGTCTGTACTTTAAGGAGCATATTAGTCAGATATTTTTAAATTATTCTCTCCCCTTTCCGCAGTCTTTTCACAAATAAAGACGTGTTGCGTCTCCAAAAAATTGCACAATGTGACGTATCCTACGGGATGAAATAAATTTTTTTCGTAAATTTTATGATAACTATCGTAAAGTATAGTCTTTTCCCTATAATTAAGACAAAAAGCGGATTTGTGCGTTTTTTTCGCGAAGTTGCGAAAAAAACATTAAAGTTACCTATACATTTTTATTATCACTTTATTTGACGCACTCTATTGAGTGGAATGAATTCTTTTCACAAATCTGACGATAATCATTCTAAAATATCAGCGTTTCCTTACAAATAGAAAAATAAAGAAGAGGTATACATTTCTTCCGCGATGTTGTACTGTGTATCAAAGTTACCTATATATTTTTAATCAGTATCGTGACGTGCACACACAACGCACGTGCAGCACACACACACATAATGCGCAAGACCCGACCAGCAACCTCCCCGTGGTACGCATCGGTAATGTTAATGCTAACGGTAACTGATTAAAAATTCATCATCGGTACATTTGATATGCCGCGGAACAAAGTCATGCACACTTCTTCTTAATTTTCTTATTTGCAAAGAAACGTTCATATTTTACAATGGTTATCGTAAGATTTGTGAAAAGAATTCATTCCAGTAGAATGCGTCAATTAAGCGATTTAAAAAAAATGCATAGCTAACTTTGATATGTCGCAACTTTGCGAAAAAAAATCGTACAAATTCACTTTTTTTTAAATTGTGGAAGAGAGCTTATACTTAACGATAGTTATCATGAAATTTACGGAAAAATTTATTCAACCCCGTAGGATACATCAAATTGTGCAATTTTTTTGGAGACACTACACGTTTTTACTAGGCAAAAGGCCTAGGCATGATTCTCGTCGATTGCAATATTAGCTATAGCTATAGGTCGGGAGAGAGACGGCAGCTTGTACGTCTGCACTCTTCCACCGCCCGAGCCTGGCCAAAGCGCCAAGCGCTATAGTTCGTGACAGGCAGCCCACACATACACAGTTCTTCGCTTGTGTGCGCTGCGCCGCACGCACTATAGTTACGCATACTCGGTCCCACATGTGGCAGCTCTGGATGCGTCCGATGTGTCCCATCTGAAAGTGCCTAAAGGTGCGGGTCTTTGACTATATAACCATGGACCGCTAGCCGCTATCTTGGCTGCGTTCCGAAATGCACTGCCAGTACTGAAAATCTATAGTTTATGTTACGTATATTATAAAATTTGAGTACTAGCAGTGAATTTTGGAACACAGCCCTTATGTCTGCAGCAAAACGTCTGTCAACATCTGCAGCACTGCCAGAACCACACAACGGCTATTACATAAACTATCACATACTTGTGATTTTTATTTTATCATGTAAAAGATATTTTGTGTGTGTCCGTGATCATAAATTGCAGTTATCATTAAAATACATGAAAAATTATTATAATATTTCTTTAATCGTCAATAACAGACTTTTTCATTTTTCCTTCAAAAAAATTATTACATTAAAAAAAGTTATATAATTTTGCTATAATATAAAAATCAACAATTTTTAAAGTAGTAGTAGTAGTGGAGCAGGTGGGCACTTTGATGTCCTTGCGTCACCTAGATCTAAAAGTTCCATTGTGACCTATTTTTAAAGTAACAAGAAAAAAAAATCTTATTTGCAAGGAAAATATAAAAACACAAAATAACATATTTATATAATTTCATACCAAATTTGTATTTATTATATTACATAAGAATATATAATATTTATATAATATATAATAAGAGATATATAATATATGAATAAAAAAAAAAAATATATATATATATATATATATATATATATATATATATATATATATATACCCAGATAGCCTAACCTGCGCGAATAGATTTCGAGCAGAGCTTGCTATCAACTTTTGATGGCAAATAGATATCAAATTTGATGCAGGATCTGTTATATCAAATCTTGCTGCCAAATTGCCGCCAGATATGCGGCAAAGCTTGTTGTCGGGTAATTGCTGCAGATTTGCAGCAAAAACCGCGTAGAGCTTGTAGCGATTTGACGGCAGATTGGCAGCAGAAACTGCGCAAACCTTGCTGCGCTGCAAGCTTTTGCTGCAAATTTGGCACCAATTGTCCGACAACAAGATCTGTCGCCAAAACCGTAGCCTAATGTAAACACAAATGGCTATGGTTTTACTGTGGGTTTTTTATCAAATTTGCTGCTAATCTGCGCGCAGTCTGCGCTCAGTTTGCTTACTGGGTATATATATGTACCTAGTAAGCAAATTGAGCACAGACTGGCTGAGCAGCGGAAGTCCGCGCGACAGTCAATCAATATGTTGTTTTTCCGTAAAAGCTAGAAAGTTATTATGAAAAGCAGCATATTGATTGGCTGTTGCGCGAACTTCCGCCGTGCGGCAAGCATTACCGCGTCCTGTGTGCAGGAGCCATTAGAATCGCCGCTAGCGGTCCATGGTTATATAGTCAAAGGTGCGGGCCCAATGGTCCCTAACATCCATATCCATATATATCACGACTAATCACGACTCGACTTTATTTATGATTACGGATATGGATATGTTTACGGACCATTGGACCTGCACCTTAATAACGTGTTCAACTGATCCTGGGTTAATCGCTCCGAGAACGATTAATGACGTCATAAGTCTCTACTAGCCAATCATAAAGCTTATAAGTACTTGTTTGATTAATAAACGTAGGCTGAATAACCTAGAGTGGGTTAACCCAGAGCCAGTCGAACATGCTATAAGTTGGTACGGACCAGGAAGTCGATTGTGTATCTCGAAATAGAGTGAAAATTACAAAAGTGAACAAATTTACTAGAATATTTGTAACTTAATTGGTCAATGCCTAGAGAATTTGCTCACTTTTGTAATTTTCACCTTGTTTCGAGATACACATTGACCCCCTGATTGACCACGGTACGATTGGACACAGATTGTAATGATTGGTTCGACCTGGTAATTCACTAGATAATTCTTTGCATTGGTTGGTTGTGTCCAATCGTACCGTGGTCAATCGGGACGCTCCCGCTTAAGTTCAGTCGGATCGATAAAAAGAGATATAAGAATTTCTCGGTCGGTACATATGTCTCACTTGATATGTACTTTTCAGACGGTACTTATATGTGAAATTCAATCGACCAGTAAGAGGTTTATTTTCTATTGCTGAACTGACTGCATTAACTTGCATTAGTCTTCTTCTCCATTTTCCTGCACCAAATTTCAACTGTATCAATTATTCTTTAAGTTATCAATTATTCTGTAAGTGTACACTAGTTCAGCGATAAAAAATAGATTTTATGTCTGAATATGTCTGGAAAGAGTAAGTCCCATTTGGCGTCGCGTTGATCATAGATATCATTTTATGCTTATTTTTCTCTGGATGTTGAACAGAAACGGGATGATCCCTTATAGAAATATCATACTAAGAATCATTGATAATTACTTATTATCCAGTATTTTTAATACTAAAAATAAGTAATTATCAATGATTCTTAGTATGATATTTCTATAAGGGTTGTGCGTGTGAAGTATGATTAGTTGTTATCATGAACAACTATTTCTCGCGAACGAAGAAGAGTAACGTCTCAGATATTTTGGTCATCAGACATTGTCTGAAAATGACTGAATTGAAAATCGAAAATTGCAGTACAAGTATGTAAAGGTGCGTTCTTATATAAGAATTTTGTCAATACATGAAAGAAGGTATCCGATGTCATGACAATTGCGGCAATATTCTGTTGTCACGAAAATTACTGCTCATTTGCTGGTAAAAAAACAATCCAAAATATGTTTATTTTTAAGTGTAAAAAGCAACATGCTAATCTTAATACACGAATCGATTATGTATATTTTGAGAGATTCTCTTTTTATTTTTTCTTCCTATGTTTATCTGTTACTTTAGTTCAAATGTGCCTTTTGCTTCCTGTTTATTTTTTTCTCTTTCTAACTCAGACTTTGTTACTGAATCTGTTACCGTATCACTGAATCAGCTAACAAGATTTCATACATTCTGGAAGTTGGGGACAGGATATGAGGGTTTTCTTCCACCTGAGAAACGCGAGACGTTGTCGTGAATGCTGCATATGAATACGCA